CCCCAAAACCCCAAAACCCCATCAATAAATATCAGAATTGTACTGAATCAAGTTCTTAATTAAATAGTGTTGTTTCAAGAGCTTGAATTATTCTTTAATTCTTATATAAATCAAGGCTTGAATTTAATCTCCATCAGATAAAGCTAGTTACTGATGCTGAACTAATTATTAGTGAGTCCCTTGTGCATCATCTTGCTCTACACTCCTCCAAATATCAATACCTTTTCATAGTTATCGTAGTTGGTCTCCACAGTACTAGCATGATTGCAGATCTTTTCCAGTCTGTGGCTATTTCCAGTATACTTCAACTCAGTCCAAGCCATCTAGTCAAACAGAAATAGATATATGTCATTCAAAAAAGGAGATTGCTCGTTCTTTGATAGCTCGTCATTTCGACCTATGTCCAATAACATTGAGTTAAGTATACATACCTCCAATCACAATCAAAGCTTGAGTCACTGACAGATAGTTCATAGTGTGGCCTATCCTTGGACAGGGCGTCTTACCACCCTTGCTTTTAATAGTAGTCCACTCTGCGAACTTGACTATGCCGTCTGAAGTCTGGAACCTGAACAACCGAAGTTTATTCAGCAGCTCTCCCTTTTTATTAAGCCCTCCAAATACATATATCCCATCTTTAGAATCATTCTATAACTTAGTCACTTATTTAAACTTACATAGTCTTCTATTTGCTGTTTGGGCTTCTTCAGGATGACACTGACACTGGCTGATTAGGCCAGACCCTCTATCGATTTCTAGGGCTATACTCTCTGCCAAGTGAAATCATCTAGATCTAAACTAAGCAGCTCATCAGTAATACTGCCATTGTCAAGATATCCTCCATACACTATCATGTTCTTCCCTATTTAAGATGATCTATTTAAATATTATACTGAAAATAGCAGCTAAATGACTCCTTCTAGGCTGAATCGAAATTCCACTGGTCTTCAAGACACTCATAGTCTTCTCTTGAGGATCATAAATCACAACCTAGTTGATGCAATCTCTCTGCTGTCTCTTCTTATTGTACATATAGCATCCCCCAAATATTAGTATCTTGTCTTTAAAGGCAACTGCTGTGTGCTGCAACCTGCCCTCCAGCTTTTCCTGGCTTTCATAGTCAGATTTCAGCCATTAGACATGATCACCCACAATCCGCAGCTAAGGCACATCCTTACTAGTCTCGTAATTCAAGCCTCCTATCAGGTAAGACTTATGATTGCTTTAGACAAGACAGCCTGATTCTCTGGGTGGAGGGTTCCAATAGGGATCTTCTACTCTGAAGCACTCAATGAGATAAGACTCTCGCTTTTTCACTTTCTAAACTAGCTATTAGATGCCTTGCTACATCTACATCATAAGTTTATTCTTCGGCATTCCAAGTTGAAGTTTGTTAATTGTGGCATTAGTTGTGGTAGCAGGCATGATCATATGATTGTCTTTAAGTAGACCTCCCTGAAACTAGTGTGATCTCTGGCTGTCTTCATTCTTTATAATTTTGATCTTGGGTCTAGTCCTGTCTAGAAGCATTAACTTATCCTGAAGTGTTATGAAGTTCCTAAGCTAGTCGTCCACCATCATTGAAGCATTGTTTGATATCTTAGATTGATTCATTTTAGTCAGCGAATGATCTTTATTGTTATAGTTCTGCATCTTGGACTCATTAAAAGTAGACTACTGTGTGTCATTTTCCAAGGAACTTCCTCTCTTTGGAGAGTTACTCTAGCCCCACTTGTTAACTTAGTCTGTCTTGCACATAGTGTTGTAAAGAGTCCTGATCAAAGTATTCTCTTTTTTAAATCTATGTCTGGCTGATGCAGCATCGAATGACTTGTTTATTGAAAACTGGTCCATGCCCATCATGCCAGCTTGCTTGAGGAACATCGTGCTCAGAATCTTGTTAGACATCGTATCCTTGGTTGACGACTATTGACGTTGATCATCATCTGCTTTGTTCCTGAATGAAATAGGCACATTCTTGAGAGCAGTGAGTTTCTTGACTTGCTTGGGTTTAGATTTGACTCTGATGGTGGGCATCAAGGAGATGTTGTGATCTTGCTCAATTACCTCCTTGATCATACTCTTGAATTACTCAAATTACTCATTTCTTGCCTTTGACAGCAGCTGACTTATCTTTACCTTAGATTGCTCTAATACTTCTCTGGCTTAATCACTTGATTCATATTCTTTCTGAGGACAGTAGTACATGGCACTTCTGTCATACCCCATTCCGAATGCGCCTACATTCCTAGTAGGCTCCATACTTTACTTTTTGCTTTGCATGTGATTTCTGTCATTACTGTGGCTGTTGATGCTCGCCCTTTCGAAACGACTATTGTAGCCTCCACTTATCACATTTATGTCAAATGACTAGTTTGCCTTTTTATGCAGAGAGGGCAGCAGACTTATTTGAGGACGCTGAGTGTTCTGTCTGGAATTCTAAGCAAATGAATATTGCTGCTGATTAGAGTTAGTCACAATTGAAATAGGATCTATGCTTGGAACTAGTATTGAAGAATTATCTGTCATTTTATTTCTATTTATCTTTTTAATTCCTCAATTTATTTTTATTCGGATTCTCGGGGTTTTGGGGTTTTGGGGTTTTGGGG